AGATTTTACACATCAGTTCATGACCCTAGATGAGGAAAAGTCACCAAATTTCAGCAAGAAAAAGAAAGGATAACCAGTACTTTGATCAACTCAAAAACTGAAATGGGTCAAATTGACCCTTAACATAATACAAGGGTTAAGTACTGTATGTTCTCAGCCACCGCGTATGTCCAAATTAACGTGCGGGGGAAATGCGCATCTGTTCTGTTCCACTCTGGAGCTTCATAAAAACAAAAGGCCGAACCAATTTCCAACTCTACACTTTTACTGTTGCAGCGTCTCTGTGTAAACACCACCTGAATCCTCATTTCCAAAAAAGGGATGTTGGACAGATCAAAGCGATGCATGTAAATTACAGAAGTCCCCTCCTTCCTTCTGCTCATTTCACTTTCACCTGGTTAGAAATCATGTTAAATCCAAATACCTGATGATGGAGCCTTTGCACTAAAGGGCTCACAAGTGCATGCATTTATGTTTGAAAATTGACGAGTTTTATGGTAGAATGCAGTTTTAAGACTGCACATTCTTTCTTGTGTGTCAATTGCACATTTAGATGCCAGCATGCTTTTTGCCACACCTCTTCACGCTCGTACTAAGTAATTGTCACATATTTTGACATTTTAATGCTTTTATTGCTAGCTTTTTCACAAATTCTACATCGATATTCACAGCAAAGGGATTTGAGCACTTCACACCCTTCGGAATGTCAAAGAATTCTGAAATGGATTCAACCACATGAGAGGGTCACAGGGGTTTATTGATTAATGTTTGGTTAAAGCTATTGCAGCCCTTAACATTTTTTCATACATCACAATAGCTGTATTTGCAGCCCATCTTGACTGCAGCTGTTCAAGTTTTGTTGAGAATTTCTAACGCTGTACCACATAATGCAAGGTTGCGTCTCAGTGCAGCAGTGGCTGGGGTAAAAGAGCACAGAGGGAGAATATCAGACTTTTTCTACATAAATAAGATGATTAAGTACTGTTCTGGAATTTCTGCTTAAATGTAAATTGTGTGTACTCGTGCACTCGTACTTAATCAATCAATCAATCCTTTATTATCTCACAGATGGAGAAATTCAGTTCGACGAATAAACAACATATCCGCGCTCCTTATGACAGTTATTCAACAGCAGAGAGCAAAGCAAACATATATTTCAACAGACATTATTGGATGGAAACATTACATGCGGGAAAGCATACGGATCTTTTTAAAGGGACATTGTCACTCTGATCCGCCTCGTCCAATATGGCGAGTCAGAGGGGGAGTCTGGTGGGGGAGGTGGAGGGGAAGACCACCGTAGACAGAAAGAGAGAGAGACAGACATGTAGGGCGAGGGGTGAGCCAAATACTACTCACACTAATATTAAGAAATGTTTTTATTTTTCTGCATGCCTTATTCTATTTTTAAGTTTGTAACTTTGGACCCGAGAGCCAAAGCAATTTCCTAGTTTGTGAATCCCTGCTCACTCATAATGGCAATTAAAAGAATTCTGGTTCTAATTGTAAAGTGAGAGCATACATGATGAGAAAGAAAGTAAACAGATGTTCAATGATATCAATAAATGTTTATATCCCTTGTATTATGTTAAGGGTCAATTTGACCCATTTCAGTTTTTGTGTTGATCAAAGTACTTGTTATCCTTTCTTTTTCTTGCTGAAATTCGGTGACTTTTCCTCATCTAGGGTCATGAACTGGTGTGTAAAATTTGGACACTTTGATGTGCAGTGGAATGTCTGTGCAGAGTTTGTATACAAAGATGATGTTGGGGGTCATTTTGACCCAGACGCTTTAATGTGGGTAAATAGTTGTTCAGATCCAAAAAAACAGGTCTCTTTGACATTGTATTTTGATTGCCTCTGAGACCCAGAGCCAGGTGTGTGAAGAGAGGGAACTTTCTCACACTTGTCCTTGTCACTGTCCTCATGTCATCTCTTTTGCCTAGCGTACGTTGGATAGGCAACTGAATATATCCGTCGCCTTTGAGTTGCTGCCCCGCACACAGCGACAATGTGGCAAAAACGGGCAACAGTAGCAGGCCAGTCTCGAGAATAACAGCGCGTACATCGACAGCAACTGGCCGTTGACTACAGTGTTTTTTCTGGCATAAACTGTAGAGAGCGCGCAATACACGCAATACACACATGTTGTTGGAGCGCGCCATGGAGCGCATATATCGGGTGATATCTCTGGATCTGAGGTCAACTAGTTGCCGAAAAGTGTAACACGGGCAACTGACTGAATCCGGAGATCGACTGTTTATCTCCAGTTGTAAGAGCGCTCACATCGACCAATTTCGGCAACTGATCATCTCCATCATCTCCTCTCAGTCGCCAAAAGCCGCCTTGCAACTAGTTGTCGCCAGTTACTCTGTCGATGTACGCTAGGCTTTAGACAAACTCACCAAAAATGAGCTCCAGAAGGATGACATCTGAGGAGGCTTTTTCACAGATTTTTAATTGGGATAATGATGTAGAGGAAGAGATTTCAGAAACAGAGGATTTTTCAGAGACAGAGGACCATGTTATTGCTGAACCAGACTGTCTATTTTCCTATGATAAGGAGGATTCAGAGGACGAATCTTTGGTCAAGGAAGGAGGATGGGAGGAATGAAGTAAGGTAGGAAGGAAAGAAGGGAGAAAGGAAGGAAGGAAGGAAGAGAAAAGAAGGGAATAGAGGAGGATGAACACAGAGAAGGAAAACAGGATGAGAAGAAGGAAGGAGAAAGCATGGCAGGAGGAAAGAAGGAGGGAAGAATTGTCATTTTGACCCAAGAGGAGGACAAGAAGATTAGACTAAATATTTCTTAAATATAGTGTTGGAATTAAAAATGTATTGTATGTCACTTTTCTAAATATTTATAAAACCTAAAACTAAGTTGTTATTGGTTTAACCTGTTTTCTTGACTGTTTTGAGTGCATTTACACAGTACGGGTCAAAATGACCCGCAACATAAACAATGTCATTTTTTTTCAACATAATACAAGGGATATACAAGAGAAACGACAACACATGCACACTCGCGGTCTTCTCACAATATGTAAAGAGTAGAAAATCACCAAATCATCCAAGGACGTCTCCCCTCAAGTTGTCAATTAAACCAAGTCAGAAGTCTGTACTTTACGTTTCTTAAGTGCTGATAGAAAACTATTTCACTGGAACATGCAGTACTGTACATGCAGGCCCAGACATATTAAAGACATATATTCAAGCAGCAGGGAGTCCGCTTTGTCTTTTGTGTCAGACAATTCATTTTAAATCTGCTCAAAAGGTTAACAGTGATTTGTAACACAATGCAGATTTCTGTAGCAGCCCATAATCATAGAACTTTCACTATGGAAAAGTACAAAAGAGACGGTGACAGAGATGACTGTTGGGTTCATTCAGACCTACGGCCGAAAGAGTCTATTACAGAAGAAGTCGATTAGAGCTCACTCCAGCGGGCAATTTGAGCAGGAATCTGTGATTTAATATATGCATGTTAGTGGGTAGCAATGACCAGTAAGAGCCTAGAGCTTGGGACAGAGGACAATATCAAAACAAAAACCCCAGGATCATGGAGAGCACCACAACATACACACACACAAACACACCAACACACACACAGTTTCCGTGTGCTCCCAACCACTAAAAACTATGGACAATGGGACTATGGACCTGGAGTATATATTGTTACACAATTGGGCAATACACATTCAAATAGATAAATATATACATGTAAGTGGGGCAACTGCGGCTGTGAAGTGCAAAATGTTGTTTTGTCCTGAGGCAAGACACTTCACCCACATTGCCTATGAGTATAGTGTGTGTGTGTGTGTGTGTGAATGTTGGTTCGCTTCTGTCAGCCTCAGGGCAGTGGTGGCTACACTTGTAGGAGTGAGTGAAGATCCGCTTGTGAAGTGCCTTTGAGTGTCAATAAAGTGCTATTCAAATTAATGCATTTTTTTGATTATTATACAACAAGATCTTGGTCATATTTATTCTTGTACCAACCCAAATCAAATGAAAATGTTTTAATAAAGTATTGTTAAAATGATAAATAAACGCAACAAAATAACAAATTTACAATCTCTGGTAGATGCTGTTAGAAATAGGACAGGGTGGCAGATTTTGCATACATTTCTCTAAAATAAGCTTGCCTCCGTTATATTTAGCCTCCACATCTGTAAATGACTCCACAGGGTTATAAGTCTGGTTTTATTTCTGCTACTTATTAAACAGATGCTGTGTTTTGGTTTCTCAGAACAGACACAGACTGATGCAGGAGGCTGCCAGCGTGAACACTATATTAACAGGAGACTCCACTTTTATGCTAATACGGCTTTTAAGTTCAAACATAAAACTGTAGGTCTCAGACTTTGTGATGTCTTTGAGAAAATAGATCGTTATGTGTGGGAATTGTCACAATCCAAAATACATGTGTTTCTGACTTTACTATTTCCCCTGAACATTACAAACCTTGAACCTAGTGTTTACAGTTATAAAAAAATGTCTATGAAAACATATATGTATTTTTATATGTAGATATCAAAAGCCAATAATTTAACTACATGACACAATACTTTTACAACAGAAACATACTTTTACAGCAAGGTTCTTGAGAAGAGGTCTTCTTACTCTTCAATCATTTCAATAAATACCATCCATACTCCAAACCAAGTGTGCATTATTAATATGTTTTAAAGATGTGATGAATACTTACAGATAGGAGCAACAAGATGGTAGAAGTAGAAAGCTTGGTATTTAGTACATGTTTTTAATCATCTGGGGTCTTAATTATCAACTGTGCATATTCACCAACATGTCAGGACTAATTTTGTATACATCACACTTTACCAATAAAGAAACAGCAGTGTTTTGGTATGCTTTAAAGACTTCTATTTCAACTTGGTCTGACCTGCCTCTCCACTGAAACCAGCTGCAGTGTGTGCCATAACATGTTATATGTTCATAAAGAATTGTTGTATTTCTCCATCACTGTGGAACTGAACTGTGCATCATGGCCTCACTTCTGTGCACAAAGAATTTCAAAGCACCAGGGTCTCACGGGTATATCTGCCTTTTGTGTCCAGGTTTCCTCAGCACCGGGGATCAGTCGGCCAAAGGGAACTATGGGCTGTTGGACCTGATCCAGTCTCTGCGCTGGACCAGTGAGAACATTGCGGCGTTCGGAGGAGACCCACTGAGGATTACGGTGTTCGGTTCTGGAGCTGGAGCCTCCTGTGTCAACCTGCTCACCCTGTCCCACTACTCTGAGGGAAACCGCTGGAGCAACTCCACGAAAGGTGACGGACAAGACACAGCACTAATTCTAACAAATAGAGGGGGTGCATATTTTGAAACCAAGCACTTTTTAATAGTTATATTTTGAACCAGTCTTTAGGCTTGACAGAGGTATTACAGTATTTCTATGTTCAATTACATTGCAATGCAGTTCGGATGGGTAAAAAAAAACAATAAAATGGAAAAAAAGAAAGAAATGTTGTTTAGTTTAGTATTTATTTGAAGGGACAATGTACAAAGACATTAAGCTTGAAGACATGTATGTTCTGCACCAGATTATAGCTAAACAGCTAGCTTCCATCTAGATGGATGTGATATTTTACTATACAACATACAAGTATACACCATTGAAAACTAGTTACTGGCCTTATTGCAGCCATCATTAAAGTCTAAGCTGACACAATTGACAATAAAGAGTGGGTTGGCAAAAGAATCACATCCTGGGACCATTCACAACTGAACTGACATACACTTCAATGTCTTCTCTATTAGGGTCAACACAAAAGAAAAACGTTTTTTTAGAAAGTGATATCATATTTCAAAAAAAGATAAATAATTGGTCCAAGTTTAGATATTCTTAGATTAGTCCGATATTTATTGTGGAAACAATGGAGCAACACAAGCCTAAATAATAACAAGCCTTTATATAAATGGACCATAGCTTGGAGATTTTTTTTTTTTTCATAAACCGCAAATAATTTTGTCATCTGAAAAATATGACACACAATTATAAAATGCAACCTACTTGTGACCATTTTGCCATTCAAAATTATATACATTACATTTTGTTTTTAGTTATGCAGCAAATATTACTGTATTTATGATTTAAAATAAATGTGAAATTGATGGAAAGGAGGAGTTTGTTCGCTCCTATGCAGAATCTACCGAAACCCTCTAACCTCTTATTTCTCTCTTGCAGGTTTGTTCCAGCGCGCCATCGCTCAGAGTGGCTCAGCGCTTTCCAGTTGGGCGGTGAGTTTCCAACCGGCCAAGTATGCACGCATGCTGGCCCGAAAGGTGGGCTGTAACCTGGAGGACACGCTGGAGCTGGTGTCCTGTCTGCAGAAGAAGCAGTATAAAGAGCTAGTGGACCAGGACATCCAGCCCGCACGCTACCACATCGCCTTTGGACCGGTCATAGACGGAGACGTGATCCCAGACGACCCGCAAATACTCATGGAACAAGGTGGGAGGAGACACTCTATCAAACATGAATAAAATAATTAATACATTTATTTTCCAACAAACATAATAAGCAGCAGATCCCGTTAACAAACTGTGCTTCAGAATCATTAATAAAAATAAAAATAGTATATGTATACCAGTGGCGGTTTTCAATAATTATTTTTTTTCACTTAACCTTGTTTATTAAAGGGGCAGTATGTAATGTGCACTTTTAGTCGACTAATAATGCTTTAGCCCGAATCTAACCTGCCTGTGATGTGGCTCCTAAGATTATCCACTGATGCAATACAGTACAGGATAAAAGGATAAAACTAGCTTCATTTCACCTAACAAACTGGCAAAGCACATGAGAGCCTCATTCTATTATGATTGGTTGATCAGCTTGAATATTGTGAACATACAGTAATTATTAGCATAATTTTTCATTAAAATGTCAATTGTTTTTTCTAGTAAAGAATACATTTTGGCTCAGACAAAGCAAAATATGGTATATACATCTGTTTGCATATTGTCACTGTTGTAATAGGAGTTAGATAAGATAATGTAGACTTTATTGATCTCACACTGGATAAATGTACATGTCAAAATTTGCATGATAGAATCACTCAGATGCAAAAGACAGAAGTGTGCAAACATGTTAAAGAGCCAGTGCAGAATATAGGAAGTATATTTATTAGACTTGAGCCTCAATCCTTTTCAGTCGGGGATTATTTAGCACTAAGATTCTTAATATATATGATTTAGCTCCTTGTTTTCTTATTGTAAAATTATTGCAATCTTGGAAAACATGTGACCTAGGATCAAATGCTCATAACGATCGCAGAGTTAAACTACTACTACGACATGACCTATTGGACACAAAGATGTAGATGTAAATTTAAATGAGAGATGATTACATATTGTCCCTTTTAGTCAATCAAAAATGCTGAAAATAAACTCATGAAGTTATTGTGATGTTATGGCTCTTTTCAAAGCACAGGAGTTTTGGTGATTTTGTTCATTTCCCAAAACCCCGACAGAGGCCTTTGCTGAAGTGTGCTTGAGCACTTGTTAGGCTGTCTATCCTCGCTCTCCTAATGGAAGTGCACAGCAGTTGACTTACACCTTCACCTCTTTCCAAACAAACTTAATGTTCTGAGGAAATTGACTTGGGTTACAGTGAAGTGGGCCCAACACTGCTTCAGGGAACTAACTGAAAATCCCACTGCCTCGTCCGACTTGTGCAGCAATTAATTTCAAGATGCAACATAGAGTATAGATATTGGGACTAAGATTTAAAACAAAACAAATGACAGTAACTCTAATAACAGTCATACAAATAATATTCCAACAAATAGAGGGGCCGCATGTTTTGAAACCTGACACTTTATAATAATATAATATAATATATAATATAATATATTTTATACATATTATACATTTTATATTTTGAACCAACCTTTAAGTTTGACAGAGGTATTATTTTTTGTTCTATAACATTCTATTGCAGTCAAGAGTTTTGATGAAAAAAAACACATTTTGAACAAAAAATAATTAATTAATAATTACATGTTAAAAGTAAAAGTAAAAAACATGGATGACTAATTACTGGTTAACAGCCCTCATCAAAGTCTGAGTCCATCAAAATTGACAATAATAAGTCTGTCTTACGATATTTATTTCTGTACACATTCATTTCCACTATGTGTTTGTAATGTGTTTGCATCTGGTGTGTGTTTGTATGTGAATCTGCATAATAGACTACTTTTAACCTTGTCCATGTCTTGCAGGTGAGTTCCTGAACTATGACATCATGCTGGGGGTGAACCAGGGCGAGGGGCTGAAATTTGTGGAGCTCATCGTGGACAACGAGAACGGCGTCCAGGCCAACGACTTCGACTACGCCGTGTCCAGCTTTGTGGACGACCTGTATGGGTATCCAGAGGGAAAGGACATCCTCCGTGAGACCATCAAGTTCATGTACACGGACTGGGCCGACCGCCACAACCCTGAGACCCGGAGGAAGACACTGCTGGCCCTGTTCACCGACCATCAGTGGGTGGCCCCCGCCGTGGCCACCGCAGACCTGCACTCCAGCTTCGGCTCGCCCACCTACTTCTACGCATTCTACCACCACTGTCAGACGGAGCAGGTGAGAGAGACTTGGAAGGTCGAAGCAGGGTGGTGGTAGCAGCGATGGTGCCAAGGAAAAACATGCGTTCATTCAATAATTACTCTAAATTAAGTTAAAGAAATAGATTCATGAAATAAAATTGTCAAAAACAAGGCAGCAAAAACCCAGAGATAGGAGCAAGATGTGCGATGGTCAGAGGACAGAGGAGAGCAATTACTTCTTGGATATTAACAATTCAAGCTTCCAAAAAAAAACAAAAAAAATACATGTATCACACTGATAGCTGTAATTGCATAAAAGGCTAACAACACTGTATTCTCTTTATGTATTTTATTTTATTTAATTCATTTATTTTGATTGCCCCTTGAGATGAATTATCCCTTTTCAAGGAGGTCCTCGTTATCATTGTGCATAAAATATATGCAATTATTTGATGAACTAGTAATTATTCACAACAACATGTTTATTCATAGCTAATTAAAAATAACCCTTTTTAAGTTTGCATCTTCCCCCATTAGATTACATGGGGCCTGTCATTTAGATATCTCTGACTGCAGACAAGTCATAAAGCCAAACTGATTCATATATTTTACAGATTTAGAATTCAGCTGCATTAGAATAGGCTTTGCAATAAACTATAAATACATACTAGCTATGCAGAAGGCAAGGATCTGTTTATGTCTAACATTTAGACACCACACCATGCTGTCTTCATCTTTGTAGAAGACATGTTATTTTGTAAAAAATATACATGTCAGTCACTATTTTCTGTATGAAGAATCTAAAGATGTGACAGAGGCTAAAATATATGTGAGCATTTTGTTAGGATTAGTTTATTACATAGTTAAATTTGTTGTATGAAAGTATTTCACCCCAACTTCATATGCCTTCATTTGGTAAGGAGCTGTCCATGGTAGACTATCAACTGGTCAAAATATGGCCCAGAATTCCCACATTAGACTTGAAATAAATATAGTATAATTTGTACATACTGAGTCATGTTCCTATTAAGGATATATCTTTTTCACAAGACAAGCAACTGATCAAAGTTTATTAAAGTATTTTATTTGTGGTTAGGTTCCACCGTGGGCCGACGCAGCTCATGGAGACGAGATCCCGTATGTGTTCGGTCTACCTATGATCGGACCCACAGAACTGTTCCCCTGCAACTTCTCCAAGAACGACGTGATGCTCAGTGCCGTGGTCATGACCTACTGGACCAACTTCGCCAAGACTGGGTAACACGCTGTTTACATATCTGAGGCTGTCAACATAACAAATGTTGATCAACGATATATTTATACAGAGATACATTGGGACAGTATCGAAACGACTTATGATGAGAAAACAAATAAACAGCACTTACCTAAAATATATTGAGTTTGATTGTTTTGAATATAGAACCAGTGTTACTGTAACTTTACTTTATTTACCCATGCAATAATAACTTTAATAATGTCAGAATGTGCAATATAGAACCACATGTGTCCACTGTTACTCTACTTACTAACTTTTTCCCTGACCCTCATGTACAGATGTAACCATACAACCACATATTACTTGCACTAGAATACACTGTACTTTAGACTTGCTTCTTTATTATTAAGGTAGAGATGTTATACTTCTTTATTATGCTAAACTTAGAGATTCCGTACAACTTGTGCTAAAGATAGAGATTTTGTACTTCTTTTTGATGCTAGAGTTAGAGATTTTCTTTTCATTTATTAATTTCATAGTTATTGTTCATTTAACTGGTGATGCAACACTGAAATTTCCCCACTCTGGGACGAATAATGGATCTCATAATTTTCCATTTTTGGGGAACTACATCAAGTCAAATATGTAATTGATTAACACTTTTTATGTTCTTATTTTGTTTGTATTTAAATGAAAGTGTTGCCTCCTAACTGTGGCAGTGGAGTTGCTTATCAAGGCAGTGACCACCCATTTACTGGCCAAGAGGGATAAAGACATGGGCTTTAATGATCTACATATATAACCACAAATTGACAGAGAATGGCGGTCACCTGGGAGATTTATGTCACCAGTTGGAATGGTTAAGCATGTCTGTGATGAGATCTGCCTGGCAGCGAGTGCGGCTGGTAGACAATGAGGCGCTCCGCCATCAGGATGGCTCCCACGCCCTTGGCTAAAATTAGAATCTTGTTACTTCATGTACATATAATACAGCTAATATTGATAAGAGACGGGACTAAATAACATGTCAGAAAGGATTCACTGCAACTGAGGAGAGGATGGGATATGCAGCCAGCGTAAGTTCAATTTGGTAGACGTCAGCCAAAGGTAACCCTTCCAGGCCGGTTCTCATCCCCAGCCTATCGCACGGCAAACGCCCCCTTCCAATCACCGGTCCAGCCAGGCAAGCTGCTTAAAAGCGGAGGAACTCCCATTCTCGGCCTCTTGAAGCTGCAGCAAAGAGCGAAGCCTTGCAAAGAGTCGTTCTGGAGGAATCGCTTTGTTCTACTCTCACTTACTTCGTGCGTGTCCCTGCTGTCCTCTGTCCTGCTGCGTGTCGTCTGCTCCTCCTCCGCGTCGCTGCACCTGCTGCGGGTCTCGTGCTGTGGTCCGTGGGTCTTTGCCGCTCTCCTCCTTTGCAGGCTCTTTCTGCGGGTTTGCCGCTGCTCGTCTCGTCGCGGCCTGCTGCTGCATACGGCCGGTCTGGACCGGTGCGGTGGGAGCCGTGCGCATCCCTGCCTCCTCGTGCCGGTACGATGTGGTCCCGTCGTGTTGTCCCTTATCTTCTGGCGTTGCGGGTAAGTATGAGATCTGCGGACGGTTTATTCCCCTCGCTTTGTCCTACAGGCTCAGTTGGCCCCGCGCTTGTACCGCAGGCTCAGTTGGCCCCGTGCATTCGTGGGCAAGCATCAGTTTAAAGCCCTCGCATTGGTCTGCAGGCTCTCTTTAACCAAGCTCCGTTTAAATCCTTCACTCTGACTGCAAGCTCCGTTTAATCCCTCAAATTGGACTGCGAGCTCTCAGTTTAATCCCTCACGGAACTGCTTATATCTGGAACTGCTTACGTATTATGGAACTGCTTACGTATTGTGGAACTGCTTACGTATTATGGAACTGCTTATGTATTACGGAACTGCTTATGTATTACGGAACTGCTTATGTATTATGGAACTGCTTTTATGCTCATACCTGGAACTGATTATATGGTACTGCTTATACCTGGAACCGCTTATACAGTGCATGGAACTGCATATATTGGTTCTGCTTATATCTGGACCTGCTTATATATGGATCTGCTTATATACGGAACTGCTTATACATGGATCTGCTAATATATGGAACTGCCAATATATGGAACTGCTAATATATGGAACTGCTAATATATGGATCTGCTAATATATGGAACTGCTAATATATGGATCTGCTAATATATGGAACTGCTAATATATGGAACTGCCAATATATGGAACTGCTAATATATGGAACTGCTAATATATGGATCTGCTAATATATGGAACTGCTAATATATGGATCTGCTAATATATGGAACTGCTAATATATGGAACTGCTAATATATGGAACTGCTAATATATGGAACTGCTAATATATGGAACTGCTAATATATGGAACTGCTAATATATTGGAACTGCTCATATTGGAACTGCTCATATTGGAACTGCTCATATTGGAACTGCTCATATTGGAACTGCTCATATTGGAACTGCTCATATTGGAACTGCTCATATTGGAACTGCTCATGCAATATATGGAACTGCATATGTTGGTACTGCTTATATCTGGAACTGTATATATATGGAACTGCTTGTATATGGAACTGCTTGTATATGGAACTGCTTGTATATGGAACTGCTTGTATATGGAACTGCTTATAGATGGAACTGCTTGTATATGGAACTGCTTATATCTGGCTCCGTCTCCTCCCTCAACGACGCTGTCTGCCCGGACGCGGGGTGCCGCTCCGACCTGGCATTCGGGTCCCGTCTGCAGAGCCGCTGGGACGGTGTATCTTTTTTTTTACAGTGACGTCATCCCGTCCTCAGATGCCCTGCGGTTCTTCACGGACGCAGCCCCGTCCGTGGGTTTTGGGGGTCTCTTCCAGGTCCAGTGGTTCGCCGGGCCCTGGCCCGACGCCTTCCCTCAAAGCATCTCCTCCGCGCTCCCGATAAACCTTCCAATGTCATCCGTCTGTTTCAGAGCCCAACTCAAGTCCGTACTGCTGCTTGTAACCTGTCTCCCCATCTCTACACAGCCCACTCCTTCGGATAGGCGCCGCCACGCGCGCCGCGTCCCTTGGGCTCCCCTATTCCGCCCTCCAGCAGCTGGGCCGCTGGTCATCATCGGCCCTCTCCTCATACATCAGGCCTGACACTTCGACCATCCTGGCAGCCCAGCGCCTCTTTGCATCTCCATAAAACACTTGCAAACTTCCTGGTGGCGGCAGCAGCTGAGTATCCGCAAGCATGGTCGCAGCAGCTGAGTATCCGCAAGCATGGTCGCAGCAGCTGAGTATCCGCAAGCAATGGTCGCAGCAGCTGAGTATCCGCAAGCAATGGTCGCCCGCAGAGACTGTTCGGCAGAGACTGTTCGGCAGAGACTGTTCGGCAGAGACTGTTCGGCAGAGACTGCTCGGCAGAGACTGCTCGGCAGAGACTGCTCGGCAGAGACTGCTCGGCAGAGACTGCTCGGCAGAGACTGCTCGGCAGAGACTGTTCGGCAGAGACTGCTCGGCAGAGACTGCTCGGCAGAGACTGCTCGGCAGAGACTGCTCGGCAGAGACTGCTCGGCAGAGACTGCTCGGCAGAGGATCCGCAAGTTTGGTCACAATAGATAGCGGTCACAGCATATAGTGATAGCGGTCACAGTATATAGCAAAAAATGGTTAGCGGTCACAGTATATAGCGATAGCGGTCACAGTATATAGCAAAAATGGTTAGCGGTCACAGTATATAGCAAAAAATGGTTAGCGGTCACAGTATATAGCAAAAAATGGTAGCGCGCGATGGTCGCGACTCGTCAGCATATAGCGATAGCGGTCACAGTATATAGCGATAGCGGTCACAGTATATAGCGATAGCGGTCACAGTATATAGCGATAGCGGTCACAGTATATAGCGATAGCGGTCACAGCATAGAGTAGTCTCGACGTCTGTCCCCTTCAAACCAGGCTGCAAAACTCCATCAACTCACAACCTTTTTGGGGATTGGCATGCTCCATCGCAGAGCCCCTCCGATCTGAAGGCCGCACCGGGGCCTAGGGCGCCAAACTTCCTCCCAATAAATACTCAAAAGCTTCTTGTTTCACGTCTCTCCAAATTGAAATGCAGCCAGCGTAAGTTCAATTTGGTAGACGTCAGCCAAAGGTAACCCCTCCAGGCCGGTTCTCATCCCCAGCCTATCGCACGGCAAACGCCCCCTTCCAATCACCGGTCCAGCCAGGCAAGCTGCTTAAAAGCGGAGGAACTCCCATTCTCGGCCTCTTGAAGCTGCAGCCACCGCCTCCCCTCCTCCTCCTCTTCACCCTGCTTCATTCTGCCTTCAATCTGCTTCCCGCTGCCAAATGCCGCCACCAGTGCCTAGGTCCCGGGGGATTGGCATGCTCCATCGCAGAGCCCCTCCGATCTGAAGGCCGCACCGGGGCCTAGGGCGCCAAACCTCCTCCCAATAAATACTCAAAAGCTTCTTGTTTCACGTCTCTCCAAATTGAAATGCTATTGTGCTTTGTTTGACACCCATGGAGCAACATTATATTTTAAACGTTTTAATTAACAATACTCAAATAATTTAGACAAAGATTTCTGGCTTGAAACTGTCATGTAAATGGAATCAAAGAAAATAGAAGAAGATCACAGGCTTTTTATTAACATGTTTAAGGTATGCCTAAGATGTTTGTGGAGCTGCTGTATATTAGGTAACACTGATTAAAAGGGATGCATAAAATCAAAGGCAAATTCTTATTGTGTAAAATTGTAAATATGTGCCCTATAATTATAACAGGATTTTCTTATAAAATGTTTAATGGGGACTTATTCTAAAGAAATATACAATGAGCGAGACGAGTATCCAATCAGAAAGCAGAATTAGCGTTACACGAGTCTTTTAGGTCGCCAATGTGTTCAGTTGGTTTGTCGTTACCTCCGCAGCTGAAGGGAATCAAGACCGGAGGAGCAGGAGTGAACAAAGCATATACAGTAATGGTCAATCTCTAATCGCTGCACTTTTGTTTTATAATTTAGTAACCTAAGTGCGTAGAGCGTACAACAGGTCCCTGCAAATAATAAAGCTAATAAAGGGGCATTAGGTGAGTAGTACAGCTCAGATGGAACTTGGACTTGATTTTGTTCTGTTTGCATTAAGCAGAGAGGCTTCCTTTTGTATGACTAATCTAATTAGGGCATTTTCTCTCCTTTGTATTTAAGGGGTCATGAATTATACTTGAAATTTCAGTCCATTTCTATATAATCTATATAAGAATCATGTATCAAAGCTGAGGATGGGTCGATATAATTATTTCAGCCGATACTAACATATCTGATAAGTTCACTATGTTTCAAACTGATACCAATATTTTACAAAAAACTTCAGATGTCTTTTCTATTGAAAATGCACAATTAACTTCAGTCACATGACCTCACCAGGGAATACATGCAGGTAAAACTGCAACTTATATAAACAGTATGTAATTGTAACATTTACTTTAACCAGGCAGAGATTGTAGACTTTGCTAAGAAAAAAAAATACTCTGCTTTATTACTTAATACTTTATTACCAAATACTATAACATTTTGTCCTTTTGACACAAGTAAACATGGCTCAAAACACCTTAGCCCATTTCCTTGTAAACAATAATAAATCAACTGTCATAAATATAGAGACATCAACTTATAACGGGGCTCTAAATACGCCATGACCTGCCTGAGCTGTCCTCAACCATAGAGAACGGTTGATCGTCGAGAGCAATCATCTCAGTGATCTTTTCTGTGATGGATTTGGCTTTCACGGAGTCTTTACTGTATTTGTTGACCTTTTCAAACGCTTACTTGATAGGAGAAGCAGCTTTACCTGAGGTCTTTCCCTCCTCTCGCTCCCGTCTCTGCTTTTTGTTAGCATTAGCTAGCTTTTAAATGGTACTCCTTGTTAAGTTTTAAAGTGTTGAAAGACTGAACATGAGATCCTCCACGTGACACTTCAATTTTACACAACCTACAGAGAGCCATTTTAAAATTTTAAGCTGAGAAATAGTTCCGCACAGCAAACATGATGACAATATCAACCGAGCATGCATGGTCCACGGAGCCGCCCCGTTTGCAAATGAGCTTGACGCACAGGCATTCCACTGCTGCTATATGCGTTGTGATGGACATACGCTTGTAAATATCAGCACTGTATATGGGGAAGATTTTAGCCACATCGGACAGATGCAGATAATTTGAGAAAACACAAATCTTGGACAGTAAAGATATTGTCTGCAATATATTTCCCATCCCTAATCAAAGTCATTTATTTGCGTACAGCCCAAAATCACAAGAGCAGTCGACTTGAAGGATATCACAAATATATTGATCTGTCATAAAGGCAGATTAGCCCGTTAAAACTGAGTTACCTAACTTTCAAACCACAAAAACTGTGCTATAAATCCTTCCATTCCTCCATCGTCTTCCCCTTTGTCCAGTTCTGGGTCAGGGGGTTGCTGATTGCCACCCAATTCACTGCTTTTTCTTAAAAGTGTAATTACTTACTATTACTAACTCATATATTATCATTTTTTCTAGTGTATCACTAAGTTCTGCATTTATGTTCTGAAGGGAATAACAGCATGTAGCTGAAATCCTACCTTGTGTTGTAAGCAAAACTATTACCTAATATAACACACTTTTATCTTTCGCTGCTAATTTGCACCTACTCGTCTGCTCTCCGTGCTGGTGTCACCTTGGGGGCGCCTCAACTACCGGCCGTCTCCGTGTACAGCAGTAGCTCTCGTGGGACGTGACTGTCTGCTTATTACAATTTTCATTTTGACCTGAGTGTAGCATCTCCCTCCGGCTAATCAGTGTAATTATGAAAATACAGGGATGTGCTTTGGAGACGGGGCCCCAAGCTTTCATCAAATTTTAATCAACTATGTCTGCCGTATCACATCTGATAAAAATCCTAAAAAGGTCAAACGCGCTGTTATTGCTTAAAAAATGATTGGTTTTCTAAAGACACTGATTGAGTGAAAAGGTCTTATGATAGCTAATAATCTCCGAAGTTGCCCAAGCGCTTTCATTACAAATATTAAACAGCCAATTACGAGCAACTTATCAGGTCTTCAACTTAGGTTAGCTGTACAAGGGGTTTGTGGGGAGGGGGCAATTTGAGACAGCTACCGGCTAATGATAAAACATTTTAATTAGAGGAGGACTTTGTGGCATTGCTTTTGGAGAAATCAATGGGTCAGTGTGGCCTGAAGGTGTCTGGTGACAAGAAGGCAGGTGTAGCCGCGACACAGGACACGTTATGAATTAAAGTAAATTAAATTACATTACATTCTCAGTCAGAGTAATACATTCATACATTTCAGAAGTACCCGAGTCAAGAGCAATACAGACATTTGTGCTTGGTAAATATGTGAGCAATTAATTATCCCCCAATCTGAAAATATAATCTCTTTCAATTTCTTATCTCTTTCTATGTATAGTGACCCAAACCAGCCGGTGCCCCAGGATACAAAGTTCATCCACACTAAACCCAACCGCTTCGAGGAGGTGGCCTGGACCCGATACAACCAGAAAGACCAGCTGTATCTGCACATCGGCCTCAAGCCCCGCGTCAAGGAGCACTACAGGGCCAACAAGGTAGACTCAAACTCATCAGTTATCAATTATAAGTATTTGTTACGTGACATGGTTGGCGTTTCAAAATGTGCCCTGAGAAAATTGTTATCGTCTCTTGTAGTCAAAAGGACTTATACCTAATTTCACTAATGGAGTGCCTCGGGCGTTTAAGCTTTTTAATGATAGCTTTTAACACTTTGAAGAAACCACTGAATCACTCGCGTTTCAATCTTCAAACAATACATTGGCTGTTCATGATAGATTGCCCATAGAGATCTCTCTATAGGTTACGAATGGCCTTACCATCATATAAGTGTGGTTACCATTACTCGTCACAAGGCTAATAGCGAGCGCAATTAATGCACCAATCATATAATCATTTTTTTAATAATTCAGACTAAAACATGCCACGAAGAAGTTTTATGACTCAGACAGAGCTAGTCACAGAACGGCTCAGGAATATAAAAAAAAAAAAAAAAAAACGGCAGCAAGCAAAAGCTCAAACTTCCAGAATAAACACATTTTTGTGTAAAATGTGTGTTGTAACTGCAAACCTACAGTGTGCACCACTCTGAGCACATGTATAAATAGTATACAGTAATAGTTAATGTGTTGGTGTATACATTATCTATCTACCTGATATTTACCTTTATCTATAAATGGGTTTTTTTCTGGCCCACGTGACTCCTATGTAAAGGGTTCTCAGCTTTTCCACAGCCAACCATTTTAACCCTATTTGCCACAAAGTCAATGTATACAATTAAAAACAGCCATAATGTCAGATATAAAAATTGTTAAAATCCTTATACTTATATTACTATTTGATCCATAATTACATAGACAAATAAAACATATCATAATAGTTTAGTGTATAAATAGTCTGTTTAGTATATATATAGTACTTTAACGTTGTTTGCTGTAGATGCTAGACCACTCGAGTGCATTACACCTCGGTGGATCTGTGCAAACCCACTCTGAGCTCCGTGTCTCACAGGAGTGGTCCACACTGACAGAGGAGGATGTCCTTATTGGACCTGAGCTGGAATTCAGATGACTCCATTTAACCTTGAGTCTCCTCCTGTCGCCTGTGTCCCTGTCTGCCCTCCCCCTCCTGCTCTGTACTGCTCTTTTCCCCTCATCTATCCCCCTCTCTCTATCGCTCTTTGGCAGCTGTTTTTGTTATATATGAACTATACTCTGAGTGTGATGATTATCATAATGATCTGTTTTTCATTAAGTCACATCAAGTACTGAGGGAATAATATGTTTATATAATTAAAAAAGACCTTCACCTACTAATTATTTTCTCGCTGATATTTTACTGGAAAAAATAAATAAGAACCACAGCCCAAAATACCAAAAGGAAAAAAAAACTGATATTACAATACAGGTTGTGCTTTTAGTATTTTATGTATTTATTTTAAAATAATTGCAATTCACACAATAACACACTTAGTCGATTTTTTTACCACTGAGGCTCCGCAAAAAGTGAAGACCAAATCAATACAAAACATATAATCAAGCATCAGCACATTGATAATGACTCTTGTGTGTGTGTGTGTGTGTGTGTGTGTGTTTTGTGTGTGTGTGTGTGTGTGTTTCCTCAGGTGAACCTTTGGCTGGAGCTGGTCCCACATCTGCACAGTCTGAACGAGGTCACGCAGCTCATCCCGACCACCACCAAGGTCCGCTGAATATCAAATACTCTGCATTTTCACCTGGGCTCCCAAATGCCACACCGCCCTTTACTATTTACTCCTATTATAGTGTTAGGGCCCCATGTGATCAAGAGCCCAGGGGTTCTGTGTGTGTGCGGTAGGAAACATGATGTCAATAGTAGCGTTCATATACTGTAGAACTTCTATGTAACTATTACATTTATTTTGTAAAGTCTATAAAGGCTTGTTGAAGCTAATCTTGACCAATATTACAATTGGGATGCAACTTTTATTATACTATCAGTTTATATTGTAGGTTTAAGATTTCCGTACAATATTCTCCTGGTCAGACTTATGTTGACCTTTTCAGCTCATATAAACAGTGAAAAAGATGAGATATCTCTTTGGAATAAGAAATTATGCTTCTGCCCAACAAGACGAAACACACTTGCTTGTTTTCTCTAATCAAGTGAGAATTTCACAAATTGAAGTCATTTTTTTAAATCTCATCTTAAGTTGCTTTTTTGTTTGAAAAGAATTTAAATGATTGCACACCACAAACATGTGCATTTATATTTGATTAGCACAGAACATTTGCAATCTCAATGTGATACTGACAGAAATCAGATGAAGATTGCAACAACAGAAAACTATTAGGGCTACATTCAGGATTGTATTTATGCTTCCTCTCTTCAGGTTCCTCCACCTGAGACGATCAACCGCAGCCCAAAGCCTAAGATGCCGGCCCCTAAGCGCTCCAGCCCGACCCCGTTTCCCACAGAGACACAGGGCAGCCACAACCAGCCTCACCTGGTGGACCAGCGTGACTACTCCACAGAGCTGTCCGTCACCATCGCAGTGGGCGCATCCCTGCTTTTCCTCAACATCCTGGCGTTTGCTGCGCTCTACTACAAGAAGGACAAGCGACGGCATGACGTACACCGGCGCTGCAGCCCCCAGCGGAGCACGGCCAACGACCTGGCGCACACGCAGGAGGAGGAGATCATGTCCCTGCAGATGAAGCAGCACTCGGAGCTCGAGCGCGACTGCCGGGGCGTGGCCGACTCCCTGCACCCTCACGACGTGGTGCTGAGGACTGCCTGCCCGCCGGACTACACGCTCGCCATGAGGAGGTCTCCGGACGACATCCCGCTCATGACCCCCAACACCATCACCATGATCCCAAGCAGCATGGGCGGCTTGACGTCGCTGCACTCCTACAACACCTACCCCAACAGCGGACAGAACAACACGCTGCCCCACGCACACCCGCACTCACACTCCACCACCCGGGTATAGCCCCGCCGCTGGGACCCTACGCCAGGAAGCTAACAGGGCTAATGGAGCAATCACAAGCTAACGAGGCTAACGCTGCAGAGACTCAATCCTGTACCTACTATATGTGGATATGTTCGCAGCCTGGAGATATACCATTCTGGATTATATAATTCATTACATGTTCATAAGAAGGAATATACGGGGATTTATCGGGGCTTTGAACTGGACAGAAAATACTACGTTTCTTTTGTACAAAAAACAGAAAGTATAAAAAGAAGCTAAAGAAGACATCTTCACGAGCTTAAAACAAATTAAGCTTTTTAAATATTTTTTGTTGTTTCTCAGCAGAAAAATAAAATATCAAGACTTGCTCTTTCTAGTGACAGAAGCGGCCTTTGGGAACTTTTGACAAATAACTGCTTGACAGATTTATCTCGGGGCAGCGCGGAGCTTCAGACGCGCCTCGGAGGTGACACGCCAGGCGTTACAGAAAGCAGACTCACTGTTTTCCCACGGCGGATTAATCGCTGCAGAAACTCATTTAGGCATGTGTTAACTTTATGTAAGATAACGCCAGACAACGGAGGAACTATAAAATGGAAAGAAAAAAAAGAAACCTCAAGGACAACCCAGCCTTGTATGCACAACCGAGGAGATACTTTCCATTCATTTATTTTTGAGCATTGGAGACCTTTTATTGTATAGAACCAATTTATATATCTAGATCTGTACATTAAGCACCAAGGTTGTTGTTTTTGTTTTGCACCCTCTTCAGAAAAGCAAGAGGGGTGACTAGTGCAAACCTGCCAGCGTGAAAAAACCAGAACGAACGTAGAATCAACTATTGCCTTCAAGTTTGACAATAGAGAAAGCTGGGGACGAAGAATTGGATATTTTAAGCACGACGCGCATGACAATTTATCTGCTTGATGGCTGCTCTGCTGATCATTAATAAGAGTAATTTTTCCAAACAGTATCTTGCATTTGGAGCAACGACAGAGATTTCCCCCGATTTGGATTTGTACAACCGGAAACCCCATGAAAAGCAACACAGGAAATATGATTCCAAGGAGGCGGAGTCACTGCATCGGGCTGGATTAAAGGGGCGGGCTTGTGGGAAAGACTGTCCGGCGTAAAAAAAAAAATATTATTAGCTTGTGGTTTCAGGCGCGAGTAAGGACTAGGTTTGTACTATGTGTGTTGGTACTACTTTTTGATAGCAGGTTATTCATATGACACTATTTTGATCAAAGGCGTTGTGCGTTTGGTTGGCATCTTACGGTCTTTCGCTCCCCCATTGCGCCACCTCTAGGAGACCATTTCCACATTCAATTGTTCATGTTTTGTGTTGAAAACGCAAGGTGCATTTTAGGGATGTGCGATATCAGCTTTTTCACTGACTCCAATTGATCTGTTACTGGAATGTACATACGGTAATTTCAAATATGTTGTCTTAGGTACTTTCACAATGTACAAATACTACTCTACAGTCTATTTACAAGAACAATACAGTAATTCTCGGGCTATTGAATACACCTGTATAATAGTATTTAAACGGAACCAGATAAATTTGAAGAAAAAAAAAAGCCACACTTGAATATAAAGTTCATGTTGTAGCTATCAAGCAGCTAGCTAGAAAACAACACGGTTCACTCTTAAGCAACAGAAGCGACAGGGACCTAATTCCCACATAAAACACATGTAACAACGGTCAAAACTAGTTCATTAATCACCATACAAAGCACCATTAGCAGCAACAGTAACTTGTCTTGGCAAACAAAATGATAAACTCCAAGGCAAGTATTATCTCCTGTTAGCATGCTCACATTAGCTATTAGCATCAATGTCAAGGGCTACGGTCAAATCCATGCAGTAAATAATCCAATCAGTTGTGACAATAATATGTGCGCTACTAAAACTCTGAGTCAAAAAAGTCTGTAAATGCTGGAAGGCCACTCTGATCAGAGCGGAGAAAGAGCTAGACGAGCTAAGTTTGATTCATAGAAAAGATGTATAGAAAAATGGTTCTATAGATAGGAAACAATAGACCGAGAATTACAGTATTTATATAGTTGCAATGTGATATGAGATCATGTTATGCCTTTTTTTGGGTACCACAAAGTTATTTCACATGTTTTCGAGGGAATAATATTGAAGTCATTAGTATTCTCTTTGAGTTGTATTAATAATTTTTGATAACTCAGTCAGTATGACAAGTGATTCGCACATCCCAGGCATCCTCCGGTCAGAGTAAGTCAGAAACCTGTAGGGGTGAATGTGGAATGAATCAACGAAAGTGTTTCACTCGTGAGTTTGTTTGGTAATACTGTTGAAAATATAGTATAAACGTTTCAATCAAACTGGTAAGTCCATGTGCATGCAATATTTGTTTCCCCATATTTCAGGTCATCTGGTAATGACTTTGAAGGAAAAAATGCAAATACTTTCACACCTACACACCTTGCATTATTAAGGACATTATTGCCAACAGACAGATGTAATTGTTGACCTTCATATAAACAATCAAAACAAAAAAACTGCTATGAATAACATTCATAATTTAACTTAATTATTGTGAACAAGAAAATAACACAAAAAGCCATATTATTCACAGCACAGATTTTTTCTTTCTTTCTTTTTTACACTACTCCCGTTAACCTTACATTATGCCATCCCCACCATCTCATCAATGCAGCCACCGCAAATAACAACGTGAGGCGCCACGGTCCAAATGGGTAACAGTGCGCATCAGACAGCAGTTTAAGCACACTGAGCAGCACTGCAGGGGCTAAAGTGTTGACGGTTACAGAACAGACAGTCAAATACCCAGCGTGGCAAACACTATTGTCAGTCACATCTCGGAAATGCGAACTCTACGGCTACACACATGCTAAGCTGCGGCGCCCGTCTATACGGACTTTATTTTTTCCTCTGCACCAAAGTGAGCAGGATTGTCTGCTGTGAGGATGCGGCGAGGCTCCGGGCGCGGCGCAGTCATTCAAAACACAGACAGGCGACTGCTGTTACCCCATATAACACTGAGATGAGCTGTGAGGGAGGGGATGGGAGTGAGTGGTGGGGGGGGGGTGTGAAAGAGCGGATGTAATTGGAAGTCTATAACGCTTTTTGTTTTTCTGTTTTTTTAACCTTGCTATGAAGTTAAATTCAGATACACATTCATTATTTGCCGTTTGGAGTTAAACCACATTGGAATACATCTGCAAAAGTACATTAATAAAACAATCGATATCAACATTGAGATTAAGAGATCCTTTTATTTTGTCCTGTAGTGTTGCATCACAAGGAACAGGAGGAATGAGGAGCACACAACATAAGGTAAATGAACAATAACTCTTAACTATAATAAAATAAAACATCTATCTTCAGCATAAAAAGAAGAAAGTATTACATCTCTAGCTTTAGCATAGAAAGGAAGCTAATCTACAATCTCCAATTTTTGCATGATGAGGAAGCAAGATTTAAGTGCAAAAAATGTGTTGGAAACATTTGAAACCGTGAAATCGATTGACAAAAACAGTTTGAATGCAAGTGTAAAATCAACCAAACCACCAAAATAGCGACTTGTCTATAGTCTCGACTTAGCATGTTGTGTTCTCTTTCTCTCTATCTCTCACACACTTATCTTACAATATAGAGGGGGTGATGATGTCAAGTGATGTGAAACGCCAAAGGGAATGTACTCAAGATCTTGTTTTTAAAGAGTCCACTCTAATACAGTAAGCGACTAACAATACCGAGTGAGTGTCCTTTGGATGTGAGCTCCACCTTTTCGGCTTGTATCCATGAAGTTTGTATACAACAGTAAGAAGCATTTATACTAACGAAGTGAAATGGAGTTTTTGATATTTTTTTGACAGACTACTAAGCAAAGTCGTCTTGGTTTGGCAAAGCCCCATCTCGTTTCCATGGTTATCTCTCAGCTCAGTTGTCTGATGTTATAGTGTAAAACAATGCATGCAGTCGTGATGGATTGAAGAAAGAATGAAGAGAAACATGACCTTGTTTTGGTGACCCCCAAAACATTTCACAGAATCAAGAAGAGGATCTTGGCAGAAAGGAAAATGCTAATGGCCTTGGCAGTGCATACAGTGTATCTGTTTACAGTTAGGGTGATAGGTCCTTCTTATATTGACTGCTGCAGTGCTCCCAAAGAGTGGACAAGATATACATTCAAGGTTGCAATGTTTAACAAACAGCATTTATTCTTAATATCATGAAAAAAACTAAAAATAATTCCGGTCAATATAAACATAATTTTATCTACTAATAAGCAGCTAAGGACATTACAAAACTGGATAAATGAGTTATGGTAGTTAAACTGATGTCACTCATGTGTCGTAGATTTGTATCGTGAACTCTGTAATCCATTTGCAGCAATATATCCCCTATTCCAACCAAACTCTATACGTTATCCAATGTTATACAATACCTGTCATACATTCATAGGTCTATGCATGGCCTACTCTTTTAACCCCCATTTTAAATCCCCTGCTGGTTATGTGGAATTTGCATTTTCTACCTGTGTCTCCTTCAGATGTGTCAGTTTTTTTCTCCTAGCTGAATCAAAACAAATCCATACCAACACATGAAAAACAAATGATAATATATAAAAGATAGATAATAGATAACTAGGTCCTAGGTTCGAATCTCAGTCCAGAGTTTGCATGTTCTTTCTGTGCCTGCATACGTTTCCTCCGGGTGCTCCGGTTTCCCCTCCCACTGAAATATGCACAATAGGTAGAATCATCCAGCTCCTGTAGTCTTGACCATGCCGAGCATCAAGATCTGGAGATGGGCCCCTGGGCGCTCTTTCTACAGCGACCACTGCTCCTGATAGACGCCCAAGTGGCATCAGGATGGGTCAAATGCAGAGGATGATTTGCCCTACTGGGATAAATAAAGTGCACCTTTACTTTTATATTAGATAGAAACTACTCAAGATCATAATGAGAGACCTCCATTATGAGATGATACTTTGATGCAGTGGCAGATGGAGCAGC